CTCCAACTCTTGCTCTGCCGCCTCGTTGTCCTGTCAGATTATCAGCTTGTCGGACTGTCTGACACGACACTTACGCCATCTCAATAAGCTGACGCGTTTCCAAGGCTGAGATGAGCAGATCGGGGATTCTGAATTGATTCATCTCTCCTTCAGCTGCTTCACCAAGGCATCATCCGGCTTTGCAGCTTCCTGTCGGCTGATCCTCCGCGCGCGCTTAGGGTCGGGACGTTCGCCCCCAGAGGGACTTTGAGGTGCACCGGGTGCGCCGGGTGCACCCGGAGCTGCACCCGGAGCTGCACCCGGAGCTGCACCCGGAGCAGCAGCCTCACCTGTCGGCACCCGACATTTCTCGACACATGTGGGTTCTTTTCTTCTTGCGGCTTTGGCCTTCAGGGCTGTCATCCAGGAACTCCTCAGAATCTTCTCCTGCGTCGTCATCCTGCCAGAACAGGTCAATAGTTTCCTCACGTTCACTGCAGCTTCAGGCCTAAGACTTCGGAACATCCACCTCCCAACCCGAACCCCGAGCTCTGCCTAGCTGTCTGCAGTCCTCCGCTTTTTCTATGTTGGGGTGGAGTGAATGTGGAGGCAATATATGCAACATGTAGATGAGTGAAAAAATTCCAGCCAACGGGTCGGGCGACTGCGCGCTCTGCTACCACAGCCTTCCCATGCATTTCTACGATCCGGTTCTGTTGATCGTGTGTTTCCTGCTCACTGATGTAACCTGCAAGCATCTTGTGAGGATCCCAGCTGCCCAAATTCCACGCTAAGTCACACTAAGTCACACTACACAAGGGCTTCTTACTTGCACATGTTCTATGCTCATGGGCAAAGCTTGCTGAAGATGCAGGATGCTAGCGACTCTGTGCCATTGAGCCTTTGTTTTGGAGTTCTGCTGGGACGTTGCAGGTTGGAGACCATGTGGCACCTGGCAAACTAGAAGAAAGCGAGTTCAGCAGAAGCGGAGCTTCAAGAGGCTGAGGCCGAGGCTTCCGCTGACTCGGATTGTGTGCTTACTCCCTGCCCGGCACCTGACATCTCTGCGGGCTCCACTTCCAGCAAAGATCTTGGACAAAATACAACATGGAAAATGAGCCGCCAAGGAGCTCGTAGCTGCTTGTGTCCCACTTTTCTTGCCCTGACATGCTGGATTGGCAGAAGGCTACGGGTCTTGCCCTGATGTGCACAAAGCGTGAGCCTGCGAACCGGCGGCAACTCTCAGGTGTTTCAGTTGCACTTTCAGGGACTTCTCCTGTGCGGGCCCTCTCGACACTGGCATGGACACATAATGTGGAATTCTGGACACCCTGCTGTTTGGCTCTAAAGAGTGGCCTCCTCGGACAGCCTGGCAGATCGGGTCTGTTGCCTCAGTCCGATGGGCAACTCGCTGGACTAGTTCCGCTTGTCGGCTACGTCGGCTACGTATGTGCAGCGTGCGGTTTCAAAAGCACTTCGCACAAGCTGAATCGGTGGGAGTCTTTTGGCTCCCGACGTCTCACGTGCGGGCAAGGAATGAGCCGCGACTCGCGAGGAAGCCAAGCACAAGCAGTGCGACGCGGCGCGGCGAGCGGACAGCCCAAGCAGACCAGACGTCAGCGCAGGAAAGTGTACGCTGGCAAGAAGCAGCCAGCGTGAGAAAGGCCTGAAGAGGCACATAAGATCTGACGTTGTGAACCCTGCTCACAGTCTTCCCTCAATTCCATCGCATGCCACGAGGATGAAACCTAAAAGAGTTCACAGACAGGATGCAGGCAAACTGGGCTGGTGCAAGGCCGTGTGCAAGTGCACAAGCAAGTGCACAAATACAGCAGCAGCTCGCAGATGAGAGCGGCTCACAAGCAAGTTGAAGCATTCCAGGCAAGGCAGGCGGAGGGTCTAGAAAATGGCAAAGTTTGTGGTGTTGTCCGACCGCACCCTTGACGAAATGGCACGGACATCGGTAGGTCGCTCGGGGAGGGACCCTGTGCACAGCTTCGAGTAGAGTGCCCTGCCCACTCCCCTAACCGCCCCTACACCGCCGTGCGTATCTTTCGCGTCTGCCACAACAAGCACATGCATGCCGTACCCTGTAACCCTCCCCAAGTCGAGCTGACGCAGCTTAAACACGCATGAATTAGAGGCGAAGCAAGTTGGATCGGGGAAAGAAGAGCATCAAAGTTAGCAAGCCCCTTGGCACAACAGCTCCAAGACAACGGGCCTCGCGGTCCCCGGCCAACCTCTCCCCCTCCGAACCCGAAATTTGCGGTCCAACTGGATCCTGCCCGCACCGCTTTGGAGGAGCCGCAATCCCATGCCGCAGGGGGGTCCAGCCTTAGCTGAGACCATGTCAAAAAGCAGGAAAAAGGGCAACCTTTCTACCCTAAACCCCCTGAAGCTCTCCTAACTCCTGAACTCATGACGTGTGCAGCGCTGCATCAAGCTGACATATGACTTTGGCTTTCCTTCGTCTGCGATGCGCACGCTGCATCCCGCGTTGGGCCGGCCGGGCTGCCAAGGCAGCGCGCGCAAGCGCTTTACCCACACTGCCCTGGGGAAGGTGCACGAAGGGGACAGCGTACTCCTAAGCTCTGCACTCCCGCAGCCGGGCTGTCAGCTCTGTTCGCGATGGAGAGATCCAGCCCCTCCTTTTGCCATGACCCCTCCTTTTGGCTGGAGCTTCCTCGGCCATCTCCGCGACCAAGTCGCCCGGCTATCCTTGGCTCCTGAAGGGGTTTCCATTGGAACTCTGTTTGCGGAATCGTTGGGATGGAGCGCCTTTTGGCGCCTTCAAGTACTTCGGGTCGAAAAACAGTTGTTCCAGACTCACGGAGGGAGGCTGCCTGAAGAAGTCGCCAGTACCCACAAAACATCCAAGATGAGCATACGGCAAAGGTGGGCATCCGGTCCATGCATCGGAACCGTCGGATGGGCGAGCTTCCAGTCTGCTCTGATCACGTCGTCTTCCCCCAAGTTCGGAGCCCTCCTTCGAGCCTCTACAGTGACAGGGATTTCCTCAGAAGACTTTCCAAGCCAAAGAGCTGCTAGTCGACTGTAAGTCGCTGTAAGTTCTTCCCGTTCTTCACGACGAAGAAAAAGGAGAAGAGCCTCAAGAGCCTGCTCCAGAGCCTGCTCTGAAACGCCTGTTCTGAGAAACTCCTCAAATTGCCCCAAGTCTCATGCACTCGACGAAAAGGCGACGAGACCAGCTTTCGAAGACATGTTTCATAGTGGCCATGGCTGCACCCGTTGCTGCTTTGGCTTAGTCACTTAGTCCTGACCAGGTTCTTGCGGAGGAGAGCTGAATCGTTGTGAAAACCGCAGACACTGCTTTCGGGGAGGCAGGGACGAGGAAGATGGGCCCTTGCTCCGCCACAAGTGCGATTGCAGAGCGCGCTGAAGACAAAGTTGCGGGACATGGTGTGCAGATGTGTGCAGATGTGTGAAGATGTGTGAAGATGTGTGAAGCCCGAGGGTTCGAAGTTGGGCTCTGGCTTCGGGAATGCCACGGGGCAAGCGATCACGGGCAAGCTCGATCTGAGCCTAAGTCCTCGAAGATCGCAGAATGTAGCTACTCCTCTCCTTTCTTCCCTCCTGTTTTCCCTCCTTTCTTCCCTCCTTTCTCCCTTCCTTTCTGCCCTCCTGTCTCCCCTCCTTTCTCCCCTCCTTCTTCTCTTTTCCTCTCTTTTCGTCTCCTGCGTCTAGATGAGATATACTTGCTGTTCATCCTTACTTCACTTTCGTCATCCACACCTTTTGCATTCTTGGTGTGAGCGGAGGCTTGGGCCCCCCGGCACGCTCAGCTGCTCCTCCACCCTGGCCCTCTCTGACCGCTCCGTTTCGGGTGCCTCAGAGAGGAGTCGAGGACAGAGAATCCAACAGAGCGCTGTTTGAAATATCTCTTGGGAATCTGAGGCAATGCGTCGCAGGTGTCCCATGTGTCCCCATGTGCCCTTCTCACTCCTTCTCACTCCTTACGTTCCTGTCCCCGTTTGGGCCCTGGCCTCAGATGCTGGTGCAATGTCTGAGCTTCCTGCAACTTACAATCACTTTCATCAGTTCTGACATCACTCATGCAGACTCACTCGCTGCATTTGTGCAGTGCACAGCCCGTGAGAGCACATGTCCTGAAGGTAAATTCGACCGTTTCCTTGGCTATGCGGCTTGGAGGAAAACATGATGCAACGGGCCGGTAGGCTTCTGTGATGCATAAAGATCAATCTGAAGCTCGATTTGCTCTTGGCTCTATCGTTCGTCAAGATTCCCTGCCGCGTGCAGCAAACAAGACTGCATGCACCAAGAAACGCATGATACACAGGCCTCGTTGATGTAGCCAGAGCTGCTCACATTGTCTTGTTTTCACCCTCGATGCCCTGAGACCAAATGGCCCGCCTTCTTCTGCTTGATGATCTCAACCGTATCTGTGGCCTTGGAGAGAAGTCGACGGTAGGCCTCCAGGGACGCACAGGAAGAACAAAGGACCACTCTCTGCAACTTCTTCTCTGCCATCCCATCACCCGAATTACACTCCCGAAAAACGCACCAGTCTGCAGTCACCGCTCTTGGACAACAGGATGCAGCATGCGCACCCAAACACAACCTAACATTTATCTGGCGTATTGAGATTTTGCTAACAGCGCCCACCTCTTCAGTTGTTTGTGCTTCTACCACGTTGTCCTGCCACGGCACACCAAGGGACATCTTGATGTCCATGCTGGTCCATGCTTATGATTGCAGCAGTCCTCTGCAACCTGAGCCGACACTTCACCAGCATCTTTGTGCTCTTCATTGGTCACATCCTGTTGCCGTAGTTGGACATCAAATTGTATAGAAGTGGGAAATAACAATGGGTCCACGCTCCTCGTCTGCTTGGGGCTTCCTGACGATAATTGGCTGTTGCAAGGTGCTCTGCAGAATCGCAATCTCTTCCTGCAGAGAATGGGCGGTTCAACGATGCTGTGAAGGTACTGCCCTTGATTGCACTGGATTCACTGGATCATTTGTCCCGAAGAGTAGTGCAATCAGCGTCGATCTCCTGATGTGCCGGTCTCATCTCTGAAGCATGCAAAGGCTTTGCCAAAGGCTTTGCAAAGGAAGTGGTGAAATCTCTGATCAGCCTGAAACTTCTGCTGCCTCTCGACCGGATCGGCGCTGACCACAACCTCTTGGATTTGCATGAAGCTTTCCTCGTTGTCACGGGTAAACACGCTTGCATCGGTCAGATGAATCGAAAGGGCCTGTACTAACTCATGCACACATCCACCAAAGTGCAGTGAGGAGTCTGATCCTCCCAACTTTTGATCCTGGTCCTGCGGACGAGGAAGGCCGAAGCAGACTAGCTGCCCATGATGCTGCGTAACGGCTTTGGGTCCTTGCGTGTATCCTCTAACTTGAGAATGCCGTTCCTCACCTTCTTTTTCCCTGGCTTGTACCAGCATGGGTGATGGACCGTTCCAATTTGTGAAATGCAAGAGAAAGGGGGATTCATATCAATGGGACAGTAGCACCACCCGGTCGATTGAACGTACCTCAAGAGCATCGAATGGAGGCAACACGGCAAAAAAATCGGACGCGAGAAGCATGGCTCTGGACGCTCTGGACCACCGAGGCCATGGCTGTAGGCCAGGGAAACACTCTCTGCAAGCAACTCATCTTCTAGCATCAGCTGTGCTAGAACTGCTTGCATCTGCTTCACCACAGCCTCCACAACGAGCAACGACCATCTCAGTGTCTAACTTCGACAAAGCCGGCCTCGCTCACGAGAAGGTAAGACGGATCCTTGCAGACAACACATCCCGTTTGTGGTCAGAGATTTCGGAGCACCAGCACACTGTAGATGTACTGGGACAGCAACATCAGCGGGCGGGATTCGGATCTTCTTGCTCTTGAACTTGGCACAAGAAGCTACATGAAGATATGCGAAGCTCGATCTCAGGCAGGATGCCACAGAGTTGGATCACCCTCGCAGTCGTCAAGCCGTCGCCAAGCTGCAGCTGCACTGTTGAAGAACAGCTTGGCTTTCGCAACCGCATCTTCCAAGGACTGTGCAGGCGACAAGGCGGATGCCAAGGCCAATGCCAGCTGCATGCCAGTTTAAAAATCGGCGGACAAATCGGGTCACCCCTGATGGATGCCAGTGTCGCCTCCAGCTTTCGGCTGCTGATGGCCTGAGTACAGCAAGGAACGGACCAACAACAGTAAGGAACTCGCACAAGGACAACTTACCAAGTCCACCATTTGCATCATTTGTGGGGCCGCGACCAGTTTTCCAGACAGGACTTGTGCCTCCTCTTGCTGAGACGAAATGATTGAAAGGACCTGCCGGAGCATGAGAGCAAACAGGAGTGGAAACAGGAGTGCAAACAGGAGAGCAAACAGGAGAGCAAACAGGAGAGCAAACGGGAGACTGAAGTAAAAAACGATTGTTGCACAGCAAACCCTTGAAGTGTTGGCCTCCGCTGCCTTATTTCCAGTGGAGTTCCTTCTTTTGTTTTGAGGGACAGTTTGCTTCATCAGCTCCATCTTGTGAATGTCGCCTTTGATCTGCTCCACATTGTCCTGTAGCAGGAGGGCATCCGAGTTTCCTGAGTCTACTGCAATACTTCAGAAATGGGGTAAAAGATGAGACGGTGCTCAAAAAATGGCCCGGCGCCGGTCTAAGGAGGAGAGCCGTCAGACTCGTACTCTCAGCTGAATTTCGGGATTTCAAGAAGAAACAAAGCCCCCAGCATGCCGCTTCCAACGCCGCCAACAAACTACACAAAAAACCCTGGAAAGCCTTCCCACACCAAAGCCTTGACATGCGCAAGAAGACCCTTTCAAAATTCTCGATCCCCCAACATCCCCAACGTGGGCTTTTGCAAAAAAAATGCACATGAGGCCTGGCAGCGAATCGGGGTAAACCACAAAGACAGCAACGTCTTGAAATTCTTGAAAGTTCCAGCACAGGTACGGCTTGTGAAGTCTACAGGCTCTCTTCCTCTTCTTCTCCTTCTTCTTCTTCTTCCCCTTCCCCTTCCCCTTCCTCTGCCTCTTCCTCTGCCTCTTCCTCTTGTTCTACAGGCTCTCTCTCTCTCTCTCTCTCTCACTATCTCTCGTGCGGTCCCTGAGATCGGCGATCTGGTCGTCAATGTCATGGAATCTGACGGGGTCGGCACAGTGCAAACGACACCATGACAAATGGGAGCCAACTCCCTTCTTACTGGCACCGCCTCTTGGCAGCTCTTTCCGCCTGGCGCCTCGCCAATCACAAGCAAGAGGAACATTGCAACGCATTGGCTTTGGGAAGCCTTGAACGTTGAGGATGTTGTGGCCTCCCCTCTCGTCCCAGACACGCCCACCCAACTCTAGCATCCTGGGTACCCCTGACCAGCCTGTTTAATGCTGATTTACGAGGGCAGCTGAGCTCCTGTTTAACATCTCCAACTTCTGCATCTCTATGCCAAGACAGGAACCTTCATGCAATTGGCACTGCAGATATTCTCCGGTGGTGAACCAACTGCGATGCGAACCGAACCACACCAATGAAGATCCTTGTCCTAGAACAGCTGATGTTCAATGTCGTGCTCATGTTTGGCCGTGATTTGCCTGACCCAGATAAGGGTTGTTGTTGGCTCATTTCTGGGGCTCCTTGCACTCTTCCATACTCCTCCATTTGAAAGTGAATAAACGAGATGCCTCAGTCTTTCCTGTCGCTTTTCCTCCTCCTCCTGCTGCACCTCGGATGTGAAAGCTCCACTTGAAAAAACTGCATCGTCTCGCGACCTTGATAGCCTGGTTGCTCTTTGAAGGACTTCCTCCGCGATCTTCCTCTTTGCTTCCCAATGTTCATCAACACGTTGCCCGAACTTCTGCTGAAAGCCTAAGCAGGTTGACATGGCATACAAACGCTTTGCAAAACACGTCTCCAGATGGGCGTTCGGTAGCAAGTGACCATTTCGACCAAGACACAGCTAATCGTAGAGAACAAAGACATGTCCTGGCATCTTGTTGGGCCGATCTTGCATAAGGGGCATGACGTTGCATGATGCAACATGCCTCGCAAGATGCTTACACAGCTTAAGGATGAAGTGTCCTTCTTCTCGATGCCGCTCTTTATCCCACGGAGCCCTTCCTGAGAGTCTACGAGTCAGCGGCTCTGAATTGGAGTTGTCGATCGATTTCTGCCATCCTGCTAGATTCCATAAAGAAAAAAACTCTCTCTGACTTCGAAACTCCACAGAAACAGCCCCACAATCATTCTTGAGGCCAGCGACCAGCTGGGATGCCAGTATCCTTTGCTTGTCGAGCGCTTCAAAATGCTTCAAGCCCACACGAAGGATTTCGAGATCTCACAGCCAAGAGGCTTGCTCGATTGTGCTTCGGTCTCGTCCAGCTCTGCGGCCTGAGAACCCCTTTAGCTTCTTTAGCCAAGCTTTCCAGGGGCACAAGAACACAGTCCTCCTCAACTCCCTGCTTCTTCCGCCGTTGAAACCAATTGTTCCTGAGCACTGCAGAAACACAAAAAAAAAAAAAAAAAAAACGCTGGGAGGTCACGTGTTTCACGTGTTTCACGTGCTTCCTATGATCAAGGCAAGGTTCAACTCCTCTGTCAGTCTCACCCGCGCGAGCTCCTTCCATTCGTACATGATTCCTGGGAAGATAATGGCTCTGCCAAACTCCCCTTGTGATGCGACATACGCTAGCAGATTTCATGTGTAAGAACCTTTGACACAACATTTTGGCTGCAGACTCTTCGATGTGAGCCACATACCGAAGCTGTGCCAACTGGAATCGCGCAAGATGTCTGCAAAAAAGGCTCGGTTTGTTGCAGCTCTTCCGGCATTGACCTCTGTCTGCAACATGGTGCCGCTATGTGCCGCTCTGCAAAACCTTCCGACTCCGAGGGCCGAGCTTGCTGCTCGATTTTGCTGTAGTCCGTTTCTTGCACGATGTCGTCAATGTCCTCAGAAGAGTCAACTATACCCAACTCCGGACAACTTCCAAGGGCGGAAAACCACGCAACCAAGGCAAGCAAGGCGCATGGTAGTTTATGTTCAAGAAGCCATCGACACTGTCATCGTCGCTGGGATCTGCCACACGCGTGCACCATTCTCGGGTTTTCTTTTGGGTCTGTATTGAAAGTGTCTTTTCTGAAAATTCCTCAAAGAAGCCAAATGTCAAAAAACAATCCAGAAACCATCCAAAAACCCTCGGACTCTTTTGCGGAACCATCACCACACCTGCCCGGCCGGAACCATCCTCGCTCGAGTCCTGGCACTCCAAAACGGTTGTATGTTTGCCTAAGAAACCAAAGAGGCTTCACGAGCGCACTGCGAGTCACTGGGACCTACATGGCCCACGGACCTTTACACACCGAAAGAAGCGAATGAGCAAAATCTGGAGTTCAAACCACGCTTCGCTCATCCCAGCCAGAACAACGGTAGCAGTTCCGTACCCCATCCTCTTCATCTTCGGAATGCCTAGGGAGCCAGCAGCTTCAATGCCAGCGGCATGGAGTGACAGAGGCATACCATGACATGGGAAAGCCACTGGAAGGCCACTGGAAAGCCTGCGCCAAATTTGCAGCAGCGGTGCACTTCGCCCTCCATCCAGCCAGGCATTCCAGCCTGCACTAGGCACACCTCTCGGCACGCAAATCGGATCCTGGCAGTCGAGAGGCCAGCTTCTTCGTGAACTTGGCCGCCGCTGGCGGTTCCACGGTCTCCTGCGGCTCTGGCCGCTCCACCTCCTCAGGCAGCAAGTTAGCACGGGATGCATGATTCCAACACCAACAAACTCGAACTCTTGTTGCTGAAACCTTCTGCTAGCACGAAAGCTATTTAATGTCTGACATGACAACCAGATTTTGCAGCGTCGATTTCTGCAAATATAAAAGACTCACCCTCTCACTCTCAGGTTTGCGGTCGAACGAAGACACGAAACAACATTATGAAAGCAAGTAAAAGCAGCCACAGCATTGCTTCACTTTCTACATCAGGAGCTGCAGGTTCAAAAATGTTGAGAAAGAAGATAGCATGCATGCACGCACTCCCGCGCAAACAACAAACAAACAAACAAACACACACACACACACACACACACACACACACACACACACACACACATGTACATATATCCGTAAGCTCATGGCACTTTGAGTAGCAGACTGACCATTAACTACTCACAACCTCTGCAAAAGTCATGGTTTTCGGTCCTCGAGATGCATGAGGTTCAAGACTTGCAGCCCCTATATAATGGTTCATGAACCTATCATTCTCTAAACCAGATAATTGTGGCAAAGACCTCATATTGATGCTGATGTACTAGCCCGTGAATGAATATCTGGGGTTACTTGCTTGGAGATCTATCTTCAGGAACCATCACAAGTATCAGGATCATCACACCCTGTCAATCAATCTCTTTCCCGCAACATGTCGGTATCCTTCGCTTCCTTCGGTGATGCTGGAGGTGCGTTGCCTGGTGATCGGGGCAGACTTTTGCAACAACTGCATCATAGACCCTTGTGCCAGGCTGCTAGAAGCGTCCGAGTCTGCACTGCTCGAATCCACGACGACCTGCGCCATCCCGAAACCCCAAGCTGGCAAGCTGACGGCAGCCGTTGCAAAGGCCGAGGCACAAATCAGCCAAGGATCAAACGACTGTCTCAGTTGTTCCAGGTTATTGCCTTCGTCTTCATGTGTTGTCGGGATCCAGAATATCAGGCTGAAGTGGCGCGTGCTCATCAAAACGACTGCGAAAACAACTCCTTGAAATCCTCGGCTCGAAGCGAGATTCTCAAGCTTCGACGGAGAACTTTGCTTTTCGTTCGAAAGACTCAAGAAGAAGGCAAGTGGGGCGCTTGAGGCCGTGGAATGTTTTGTGAAATCAGTATTAGTTGGAAAAGTGCAAAACTCGATGTTTTGGCATTTGAGCTTCTTGGAGGGGTCTCGAGTCTCACAGCTTTTTTGTATGGTTCAGAGAGCAATATACTCGAGATTCATCCTTTTCCGGTTCTTGTATTCTCAATCAGGTGTTCGAAGGAGTACTTTTCGATGTTGTCCTGTTCGCTGTTTTCTAGTGTGTTTTCTGTACGAAGTAGGCATTCATGGTTTTTGTCGGTGTTTTGAAAATTTACGTCAGCTGGCAAAGGGACTACTCGTCGACACGTGATTCGTCGACTTTGCCTGCTTGGGGGTTTTGAGGTTAAGGGTGGAAGTGTTTTGGGCGTGCCTTTGGGCTTCTCGGGTGTAAGGTTTGGGGTTCAGGGCGGAAGTGTGTTGGGTTTGACGTCATCATCGTTCGACCATGGATGCTCTGCATTGGTGAACTTGGAAATTTCAATGGCGTCTCGTGTGCACGAAGACTGGCTTTCATCTGCACAAGATTGAATCTTGCAGAGGTTCACTTGGAACACATCCGTGTAAAGCTGCATGCCTGGATCGAATGTGTGCACACAGAAACTTTCTGAAATCTTCCGCTCGACACCTATGATCAGTTGGAATTTGCTGTGTTCCGTAAGCCATGAGAAAGGAAACAAAACAAGTTCACGTGTCATGTTTGCTTCGCAGGGCATGGTTCGAAAAAACACGTAGCACCCTTTTTTGGTTTTTCTGGGGAGAGCACCCGAAACCAAATTGCCGTTTGGGGAGTGTTGCTTAGTCGCTCGTGCTCTTTCTGTAGCAACACACACACGTCTGACCGCTCCTCCTCCTCGTCCTTGCTACCGGGATGGAAGATGCGGCCAGCCAGCAGGTCTTCGATGCCTTCTTGCAGCCCGTGGGCTATTGCAAGGAGCTGCGCCTCTTTCAGAGCACAAACGATTCAAAAGGTTGTCAACACACAACTCTGTCTTCTGGCTCTCATGACAGAAAAAGCGGGCACGGTCTTCAGTCGAAAAATAGGGGTTTTAAAGGGGGCAGCATGCTCTGGACTCCTGCTCCTTGGTGCGCCCGCTCATGACGGGAGAAAGAATTTCCAAGTCACTCCTGAGCAAGACTGGAAAGCGACCGCAGCCCGCAGCAAGCTCCGATTACGTCTCTGTCTACGTCCGTCTACGTCCGTCTGCGTGCATCTACGCCAGTCTACACCAGTCCACGTCAGCCTACGTCAGTCTACTGTCTACCCGGGTCCTTCTCCCTCTGGAGCCTTCGCCGCGAAACTTTATGTCAACCATTTCCTGTCGCTCGAAAGCTCTTTTGCAACTACGAGAAGCTCATGTTTCCAAATCACCATCACAGTGCCAAAGATGCAGGACACATCGCTTTCAGGAAAAAGCTGTGTGAACGCTTGCACCCTGCACCTTAGAATATTGAATGGGCCACTGTCGAACACTTCAAAGAAGGCCGTCCGTGTCGCCATGGATCGCGTCCGCCGCACTCTCCAGCACAGAGATGCCAAGGGCAGGGAAGCCCCGCCGACGCCGAAACCGGGCATCCTCAGCGGCCACAGCCACCATGAGCAGTCCACCGTCACACACATGCTCGGACAAGATCGGAATGCAAGGAGCGAAACAAGCTATCTATAAAAAATGACCAACGCTTTCAGTCATGCCACAATGCGATACAACACTCAGTGTGCCAGTTCGGAGTGGGTTTGGGGTGCTTTGGACTGCAGCAAGTTTGGTTGCAGCAAGGCACACTAGAGTCACTAGACTCACTAGAGGTGCCGTGGCGTGCAGATGAGGTCTTTGGATTTCACTTTCGCTTTTGGTGTGGCTGGCGGGCCCGCGCCTAACACGTGGGGTCAACTTGGTGGCACCTTCCTCGATTGTCGAGTTCAGGGCGTATCCGGGCAACCCTTACACCTCCCTGGCCTAGCTGGGGCTACGGTTGTTGGGTGGAGAGCAAGAAAATGGAGCTGCCAGGCTGCTCCCATCGACCTGGGCGATGCTGCAGCAGTGTTGCCCTGTGGGGTCATTGGTACTTCATCTGAGCCGTGCAAATACCTTACTTCCAAGCCATTGCTTCTGAACAGTTGACACACAATGCACTGTAATCCAGACACTGAATTGCAAAATAAGCTGCAAACATGCCCCTTACAACTCTGGATGCCGTTGGCCGCTGCAGAAAGCACCTGGACTCAAGCTGCCAGCCATGGCGCAGTTGCCGCAATCCTGAGGAATCCGCAACATGTCACGCAACATAGCAAACAACATGACACCCAACATGGCACGACAGTCATCAAGCGAACCCTTAGCCCTCTTGTGGTGCAACCGAAGAAGCTTTGCAGCAAGGTGCTGGGCTGGAAGCTTGAGGTGTGAACGAGCGTTGGCATAGAGCAAGGGCGTGAACTTGATGTCACCCAATGCACTACAAGGTATCGTACATCGTAAGCACCTATGGCAACTACAGACTACTACCTCATGTTGGTGACCATTTTGCCTCCAGCGTTCAGGTGCTGTGAAGTCTTCCGCACGACTGTATCGGCCGTTGCGCCACATTCTGGTCCACGTTCTGGTCCATGTTCTGGCCACATTCTGGTCCACATTCAGCACCCAGACGCATTTGTGTCAGTTCTCGTACGACGCGGGCGCTGCAGGAGATGAGTAGGGATGTAAGTTGGGGCAACTTTCACTCGCTGTAGCCCTTGACGTGCTTCTTGCGTAACTTGTCTCGGTTCACCTCAGGGAGGTCCAAGACCTCCGCTCTGGCTCTCGAGCTGAGCAGCAGCTTGAGCCGGCGATTGCCTTTAGGAGCAAATCCACCATCTTGACGAAGCATAGGCTCGACTTCAAGGCCAAGACAGTGAGGTAGCGGTGGCCCACCATACTCAGAGATGAGCCAAGCCCGCAGTACCTGGTAAGCCAAGATCCGGCTGCAGTCAAACATGTGACCGCATGCTCTTACCATGCAAACCGTGAGATTGGAGGTCGTAGCGGCCGCTTCCTGGTGTTTTTCAGCTATGGCTGAAAAGTGCGCAGTAACTGCGGGATCTACGTTGCGGTCCGCCAGCCCATGCAGCCACAGGACAGGCGTGCTTCGATGCACCATGGCCCTCACGCCAGCTTCGGTGTCCAAGCCCGCTTGCTCGAAGCGCTGGCCTCCACGAGCAGACGATGCAAGCGCAACGACACCCTGCACCTCACAGCGCAACGCTGCAGCCCACACAGCGGGGCCGCCAAACGAGAAGCCAATGAGAACTACCGGCAGCGGGCCGTAGCGATCTCTCATGAAAGACACAGCTGCCACCACATCATCCGCTGCAATTTGCAAGGAGCGGAGGTGCTTTAGCCTGCGCTTCGGCCACGCCACACCACCGACGCAATGACGCCAGGAGATTTGAAGGCAGGCACAAATTGGGCCATTTTGGCCATTTTGGCCATTTTCACGGCCCATCGGCTCTCCCATCGGCTCTCCATCAAAGTCCAGGTTCACACCGCTGGCGAAGCTGGCACCAAGCCGGGCGTAGATGGAGTTGCGAGCAGCTCTGGATGTCCTTTTTGTCAGAGGCAAACCCCGGTCGGCCACATCGACCCCTGGACCCATTCCACCATTGCTTCCTGGAGCCATGATCAGGATCTGTTCAGGCTGCCTCCTCGGCGCGTACACGATTCCGGGCACTGCGCCCACTGCCCCTGAAGAGAGCGGAATCTCCACATCCGCCCCATACTGCCAGATGTTCGTCTGTGTGATCTGTGGCCCTCGTCTCACAGGAGCAGCAGCTGATGCAGGTCGGCGGGCCATTGCTCTGAAAATCACCAGCACATTGCCGGCACTGACTAGAACTTCGGCCGCATTCTGCACCCAACGCCCATCCCTAAACCAAATACTGGGGAGGGTCTTCCGATTCTTCCTCGATGGGGGTGGATGAACGGTGAAGGTTGGTCTGTGCGGACTTACTGAAGCCTTGGAGGTCAGCAAACGATTCGAAATTGGCTGGGACTCAGACTCGGGTTGATGACACAAAGGGTCTCCGAGAGTAAGCCCTGGATATCATTTGAAATATCCTTGACCAAAAAGGACGCCCCGAGATGCTCCGCTGAGGCCTCCTGGTTGCTTGTGTGTACGTGGGTAGTGGGTGGGTTAGTGGGTGGATTAGTAGGTGGATTAGTGGGTGGGTGGGCGGGTGGGTGGGCGGGTGGGTGGAAGGGTGGGTGGAAGGGTGGAAGGGCGCGTTTTAAAGCTCTGGAGCTTGGCGCTGTGACCGGTCTTGCTTAGCAAGCAGTTGGGGCACAGGAGACTGCGCAAGAGACTGCTCAATAGAGGGTTCGTTCTGACGTGTCTGCCAGGTCTGCTAGGTGACATGCTGCGTTGGCTTGGGACTGCACTGCGGCAGGGCTGTAGCAAGACCAGGTCGCTTTGTACAGGCGCTCTCAGCCCCATCCGCCACCTCCTTTCGTCCAACCTTTGGAGGTTGGCGGTCTGTCCTGTGATCTGCCACCAAAACCTCCACCTCGCGCAAAAGACACGGCTGCAATGCCAATATGGTCTATACACATCTATACACGGTCGACTTCTCTGAAGGGCCTCCACCACCTCCTTTGCCCCCGTAGTATCCTCCTGCACATTGATGGCTTCGGGCTTTTGGTTCTTTCCTAGTGTTTCCTGAACCTTGGCAGTGTCCTCCACCTCCTCCTCCTCCCTGCGCATAGTATCCACCTGCTGCATGCAGTGTGCCTTGCTGGCTTTGCCTTGGAGCCTGCACAATTCTACAAGTCTTCTACACCAACTTCATCAACTGAGGCCACACACCACCGCCACCGCCTTGACCATAGAAGCCGCCTGGCTCAAGAAGAGCGAAAAGGAAGCCAGACCGACATATGAGCTTGCCTTGCAAAGCGATGGGCACATCATGACACAGCCTCCGCCGCCCTGCGCATAGTAGCCACCTCCTCCGCCGTCTCCTCCCTTGGAGTAGTAGCCGCCTCCTGCTTTAACAACACAAGCACAAGCATGAAGGAGGCCTCCTGAAATATGGCACGGCCATGCCTCCTCCACCTTGCGAGTAGTAGCCGCCGCCACCACCACCCCCTTTTTGAGAGTAGTAGCCGCCTGCCAGACACCACAGAAGAGCAAACGCAGGTTTCTCTTCAGTCAGCCGAGGCCTCCGTCGCCTCCCTTGCCTCATGAAATGGCGACTGCATGCTTGACACTGCCACAGTCAGCGTGCGCACCACAGAGCCTTGAGAGTAGTAGCCCCCGCCGCCGCCCCCGCCCTTCCCATAGTACCTGCCAACTGCACCCTTGGCACCTTCCTATCTGCCAGAGACGTGACACACACACACATACCAAACACATACACGAACCAAACACATACAGGCACCAAACACACACACACACATACCAAAAAAACACACACACACACACAACAATAAAAATAAAACAAACACACACACACACACACACACACACACACACACCAAACACACACCAAACAACAAAAACACACACACACACACACACTACTATATGGCTTGACATGAACTGCTGCTACGAACACCCGACCGACCACCTGACCACCCAAGAGGAGTCAAGACGAGAAAAGTAAGGAAGAGCATGCTTGCTTACATCAAGCGCAAGCTCACATCGCCTTAGTCAAAGGGAGTCTTTGGCTGATTCCTGGAAAATTGCATACGTCGGCATGCGTCCACACCGATATCCTCAGGACACAACACACCCCAGCACACCCCAGCACACCCCAGCACACCACAGCACACCCCCGCCCCCCACACACACACCCACACACACACACACACACACACACACACAACACGACACGACACGACACGACACGACACGACACGACACGACACGACACCACACCACACCACACCACACCACACGACACGACACGACACCACACGACACACGGCAAATGGCACACGGCACACGGCACACGGCACGACACACGACACACGCAACCCGCAGCACACAACACACAAACACACAAACACACAAACACACAAACACAAAAACACACACACACACACACACACACACACACACACACACACACACACACACACACACACACACACACACACACACACACACACACACACACACACACAAAAACACACACACACACACACACACACACACACACACACACACACACACACACACACACACACACACACACACACACACACACACACACACACACACACAGACACACACACACACACACACACCACACACACACACACACACACACACACACACACACACACACACACACATAGACACACACACACACACACACAACACACACACACACACACACACAACACACACACACACACACACACACACACACACACACACACACACACACACACACACACACACACACACACACACACACACACACAACACACACACACACACACACACACACACACACACACACACACACAACACACACACACACACACACACACCACACACACACACACACACACACACACACACACACACACACACACACACACACACACACACACACAAACACACAAACACACAAACACACAAACACACAAACACACAACACACACACACACACACAAACAACACACACACACACACACACTGACTGATTGTGATTGTGTGGAATTGGCCTTGCCTGGATATGTTTGTAACGAAGAGATGAAAGTTTTTTACCATGTGTGCCAGACCACAGGAATGGCACACGAAAACGATATGAGATCATCCTTCAGGGGTAAACCTTCGGCCGCTGCTGCTACGCCAGACACGAAGGAAGGACGTAGCACGAACTGAGATGAGGATGAATGAAATGAATGTCCCGCCCGCTGCCCACAACCGGGCCCAGGCGCAGACAAGCAGGTACGTTTTCCTGGAGTGTGGGGAGGAGCTTCGATGGGCACCACCCCCCCTCTGCCCCCCTGCAAGTGGTTGGCTGTGAAGCCTTTCCAGGATGAACATACCCTGTTTCCCCACACACACACACAGACAGAAAGGGACACAGACACAGACACAGAGACACAGAGACACAGAGACACAGAGACACAGAGACACAGAGACACAGAGACACAGAGACACAGAGACACAGAGACACAGAGACACACAGACACACAGAGACACAGAGACACAGAGACACAGAGACACAGAGACACAGAGACACAGAGACACAGAGAGACACAGAGACACAGAGACACAGAGAGAGACACAGAGACAGAGCACAGAGACACAGAGACACAGAGACACAGAGACACAGAGACACAGAGACACAGAGACACAGAGACACAGAGACACAGAGACACAGAGACACCAGAGACACAGAGACACAGAGACACAGAGACACAGAGACACAGAGACACAGAGACACAGAGACACAGAGACACAGAGACACAGAGACACAGAGACACAGAGACACAGAGACACAGAGACACAGAGACACAGAGACACAGAGACACATAGACACAGAGACACAGAGACACAGAGACACAGAGACACAGAGACACAGAGACACAGAGACACACACACACACACACACACACAGAGACACACACACACAGGAGAGAGGGAGGTCAGCCAGAGATTGTTGTACAATGGTACACTGACTGGAGATGACTGGAGAGACCTCAGTACAGGAGAGACCTCAGTATAGGGGAATCCCATCGGGACTCCTGGAAAACATTGCAGGTACATGGAGCTGGCCAAACTCCACATCCCCTGATGCTTCATAGCTTCGTTGGATTGGGTAGAAGCATCAGGCCCAATCCCCCTGCGGGAAAATTCGACTCATGCATAAGCTCTCAGCTCCAAGCCCCTTAGCTTAGAATCAGGGTTTACACACACACACACCCTCCTACGAGGGGAGACACAGTGCATTCCAAGGCCACAAGAGATATGCTGCACGCACACCCTCCGAAGAGGGAAAGTCCTGGTCTTGTACCTTTGTCACCGGTGAGTCCTCCGCCATAGGCCCGTCACCGCCATAGGCCCTCCTCCTCCAGCACCGACCTTGAAATCCTAGTGTCGTCGTCATCATCGTCGTCAGAGACCTCCAGCTGCCATGACAGGCCCAGGAGCGTCCGGGAGATCCCAGCTGCCACCGCCTTGACCCAAGGCACCTCCCATCATCGTCGTCGTCGTGGAGGACCCCCAGCTGCCACAAAGGACCCAGGAGCATCCAGGAGGCCCCCGCTGTCCACAGCGACCCAGAGCACCTCTACTTTTAAAGAAAGAAAACGTTCTATTTGCAACTGAGGGGCAACCACCGGAAATACGACTCGGGTCGAGACCCACGAATAGAGAGTTAGACCACCTCGTCTATGTCTCACGACTGGGCTTACGACGCCCTTCAACAATTTCCGGTTCCGCCCTTATTGGCGACTTTGAGCTTCAGCCGTGGCTGGTACCTCGAGAGAGAGAGAGAGAGAGAGAGAGAGAGAGAGAGAGAGAGAATCCGCTCATAGCACTGGGTGCCTACCAAGGCTCATCTGGCACTGAAGCCTCTCTGTTTACTTGGGTGATCCCCATCCAGGAATCAGGCAATGCCCAAACGGGTAAATTGCCCTTGAGCGACGAAGCCCACACACGGAGAGAGGGAGGTCAGCCAGAGATTGTTGTACAATGGTACACTGACTGGAGATGACTGGAGAGACCTCAGTACAGGAGAGACCTCAGTATAGGGGAATCCCATCGGGACTCCTGGAAAACATTGCAGGTACATGGAGCTGGCCAAACTCCACATCCCCTGATGCTTCATAGCTTCGTTGGATTGGGTAGAAGCATCAGGCCCAATCCCCCTGCGGGAAAATTCGACTCATGCATAAGCTCTCAGCTCCAAGCCCCTTAGCTTAGAATCAGGCTTTACACACACACACACACACACACAGACAAACAAGCACACACAACACGCAACAAACAGCACACAACACACCATCAGACACCTCTTTCAAAAAGAATCCTGCCCGAAAGATCACGGCAAAGGGCACCCGCCGCCACCATCACCGCCTTTGCCTGCAGCGTGCTTGCATGTGTTGAAGATCTCTGCATCCACGAGATGCAGCAATTATCTGCAATTACTCAAAACCGAACCTTTGCCACCATAGTAGCCGCCGCCCCCTCCTTTCTCCCCTGAGGCACGCGGGACTGGGATCATCTGCTTTGACTTGGTGCTCCATGTGACAAGCCTTGATAAGCTGTGACCCAGGCCTCGAGGACTGTCGCGAGCATCGCCTGAGCCTGGCAACGCTTCCATCTGGGCAGGCTCTCTGCAAAACACGCCTGAAAGCCAGCTTTTTCATGGCTTGAGCGCTCCGCCCATGCCCTTTCCAACCCATCTCTTGGCCGACATGGCCGCTGCAGTTTGTGCCTCGACGATAAGAGGATAAGAGTCTTGCTCGTCTGTCGATTCTACAGCATATTGCACTCGGGGCTGCGGCGGATGCACCTTTGCCACCACCACCTGAAGCGAGGAACATGTTGCAGCATGCTGCCTTGTGAAAGCCCGTGTAAGCATCAGCAACACGGCGCCATCCGTGCCCAACCCGACCTTGATCCTTCTTCGTCAGCGCCACGTTGGCTTTGACGATATCCTTCGCAATGTCCTCTACCGTGTAACCTGTGCAACGGCTGGGCAGGCAGAATGGTCTGCGGACAACTCTCACATTGCCTTCTGGTACACCACCCCTGTCAGGTACGGCACCAATGATGATGGTTTTCACCTTGGGCCGCCGTCTGTTGTCCCACCACTACGTCCACGAAGCCCTTCCAGATTCAACGTAGCAAAACATAGCATAAACATAGCATAAACATAGCATAGCATAGCATAGCATAGCATAGCATAACATAATCTGACATGACATAACATAAAGTTCAATTTTGAAATTAGCGAGCTTGTTATACGCAACATTCAGTTTTTACATCGCTATGTTGAAAACTGATTATGGTTTAACGATGAGGATACTGCGTTAACTATAACAGTTGGTCTTTCTTGTATTGCCCTGAAAAACCAAAAAATGACGAGGCTGCAAAACTGGGCTGTTGCAGGGTTGCTTCTTCGCAGCGGGCAGCAAAAAAGAAAGATGTGCCGCTGTACACGTTCACGACACGCGTCAAGCCGACAAATGCAGAGTCAGGGTTCTCATAAATTATGAACTCACACACATGGATGTATCCTTGAAATCATTCTTCTGCCATGCTCCGTTCCTTCCCTTCCCTCTTCGCTGTGTCCTTCATGTGAGCGACGTGCAGCATTTCGAAACCCTGAACTGGCATAGCTTGGAGGCGGGACTGTGAACGTCAATGTCATGGGACGCTTTCCTCACCTTCGGAGTTTTAGAAGTAGGGTTAGCGCGATTGCGCGCGAAATTTCAAAAAAGCATGTACGGCCTGTCTGCATCCAGACTGCCTGGCTATCTGCTCGAACTCCTCCCCCATTACCGTAGGCTTGCGACACGGCTGTAGAAAACACATCGACGCACGCATCAAAGGTGTGGGGCAGCCACGGGCGTCCGTCCCATCAACAAATACAGGGACTCATGCTTTCGAATGGCATGCTGTTGCTGCTGTGTCTGGGCCCTTGGCAACCGACTTCAAAGCGGTGATGGACGAAATCTGGCCAAGAAATGTGCTATGCTTGGAGGTCGCTGGGTTAAGAAAACAGTCACTTGGGGACCGGTCTGTGCCGCAGCAGAACTCAGCAGAGCAAAGCTACGCAAAGCTGTTGCCTTTGGAGGCTCTTGGACAGTCTTTTCATCCGTAGCCAACATGTGCCAGCTCCTCAACCGAAGCACTTTGCCGCAAATGGGATAGTTCAACAATGTTAAGATTCGTTAAGGCTCTTGCCCAATACTGGCTTCGCTCAGATGATCACGCCAGTCCATGACAGCTGAAATTGCCTTCATCCAGGTCAATGCTCGAATGTACTGGTTAGCATGTTGAAATAACTTGTACTTGAACCTGGGAGATCTGCTCCATGTAAGAGTCCGCTTTCGGCGACCAAAGAAAGGCCTCGCATATTTACCCGGCTTCTCCCACATGTTCCGTATGTCCATGCTAAAACCCTGCTAAATCCTGCTAAGCATGGGGTGTCATTTGCCTGAATTGTCACATCAAGGCGCCGCGTTAGAACTTTCCGCCTCCACCAGTGTCACATCACATCAAGCGCTTCTCGAATAGAATCCAGCCAAGGAAAGCCTTACGGAGTACTCCTTGTTGAAGACCTCCATGATCTGATTCACAGACTTCTCCTGCCAAATGAAATGACTCGAGGCTCAAGTGAACATGAGTCACATGTGTGTGCCTGCCTGGTCAGGAGTCAAGTTCCAGTACGGGTATAGCAGGTGGTCGCACCTGAAAGGTCGTGCTTGCAGCCTCACAATATCCCTCGAGAACATAAATGCACAACTCACCACAGGAAAAACACCCTGCAGCCATCCAGCCTTTTGCTACTAAGGGATGCATCCTTACATCATTGGTCGCATTTGCTGGTACTCACACATGCAAAGAAACCCCCCATGAAACGAAGCCGAGCTGTTGTCCCCCTCAATCTTGGCAGCTATTTCGTCCAAGGCCTATCAGGATCAAAATGTGTCGAAACGACCCCCGTGGCTTCGTATAGACCATGCAGCGTCATGCACCTGAACTTTTTCGTCGGCCGGCTCTGTTTGGGCACTGCCTCAAGGATCTGCGGGACCCCAGAGCGCATCAACAGCAATCGCAAGTTTCTTTCTTGGCAAGCGATTTGCAGTGGTGCTCCTGCCCCAGCTTCGCAAGAGACTGTAACTTCGTTGTGATTTCAATGTCATCTGCTTTTCATGAAAACATGGCGAAGTCTTTCTGCAGGACATGGCCGTTCAGCTTTCCAAACGCTCAGAATGCTCAATGAACTGACCGATGCACAGCGGCTTACCACACCCACCCACACACACACACACGCACCTTGTGGCGTGGAAGGACACTTTTCCGCGTCTTGTTTGCTCAGTCTGCGAACAAGTAGTTCAGATCTGCGAACTGTTGAAGTCTTTGTACATGGCGTCGATGTGATCAAGTTGTTCAACGTTTGCCAATGCCGTTTTCCAGCTGGGCAACGAACCGAGTGACATTTTAATCCGACGCCGAGAGCGACCTTGATGATTAGAGCTAATTCTGGAATCCAAGAACTTAAGGAAGTTTTAAAAACATCTTCTCCGTCCTACCAAGCTAAAAACGGCAGGTCGATGGGGGGGTAGAGATATGATAAGCCCCTCAACCTGCCTCCTTTTGCCTTTGCCTCAAATTACCCAGCTATGAACGAGTAAACCTGGGTGTGCAAAATCTGCTTCTGTTAATCAGAACACTAAGCCAAACAAAGCAGAATCAGGAAAACCCAAAAAGCCCAAACAAAAAGCAAGAAACCAACAACAACAACAACAACAACAACAACAACAACAACAACAACAACAACAACAACAACAACAACAACAACAACAACAACAACAACAACAACAACAACCAACAACAACAACCAACAACAACAACCAACAACAACAACCAACAACAACAACCAACAACAACAACCAACAACAACAACCAACAACAACAACAACAACAACAACAACAACAACAACAACAACAACAACAACAACAACAACAACAACAACAACAACAACAACAACAACAAACAACAACAACAACAAACAACAACAAACAACAACAAACAACAACAAACAACAACAAACAACAACAAACAACAACAAACAACAACAAACAACAACACACAACAACACACAACAACACCACACAACAACAACAACAACAACAACAACAACAACAACAACAACAACAACAACAACAACAACAACAACAACAACAACAACAACAACAACAACAACAACAACAACAACAACAACAACAACAACAACAACAACAAACACAACAACAACAACAACAACAACAACAACAACAACAACAACAACAACAACAACAACAACAACAACAACAACAACAACAACAACAACAACAACAACAACAACAACAACAACAACAACAACAACATTTTTGCATTGCACTCACTGCCAGAATCAGCATGTGGACCTCTGATCACTTTGGATCCTCGGCAAGTCGGCTACTCTGTATCCGCCTTGGGAGCTCCAGCAGTCTTTGCTAGTTTGTACTTCACGCCCCTCGGGGCTGCTGAAGATTGTTGTGCACAGCTATGTTCGAGTATGTGGAATGCATCCGCCCCTCGGGGCTGCGATAGCGCTGTGCTGGCTGGGCACCCTACGACCGCTTCCTACTGGCTCACCTGCACCCGCGACTGCAGCAGTGCCGGCTGGCCCCTATGTTGTGTTGCAGGCTATCGCTGTACGCTAGCTGAGTTTGGTGTGATTAAGGCGGGCAAGGATGATATAGAAGGTCTCACCCGCCTTTGTTATTTCACAGTCCGGCCTTTTGGACTTCGGGAGGATCGCTTCCTCCAGATTGCCAGGTCTCACTACCTGCTATACTGAATCTGCTTTGGCAGAGTACTGAAGGATGTTCAGGAGGAAACCTCCTGACCTGAAGCATTGAAACAAAGAAGAAATCGGAGCGGGCAGGGAGGCCGCCTCCGATATCAAGTACTCATCCCTGCAAAAGGGTGAAGAGTAAGCGCGGCTACCCCGACACCCTACTGTGAGTCACTGCGTCCAGCACCCACGCACCAGCTGTTTAGCGAGCCGTACCTCTGGTGAGGCCGACACTCAGCGTTCCCGTCTAGTGACGTCTCACACAGGTAACGCTAGACAACTGGCAGAGGGCCGTAGGCAGAGCTCACCATGGCGGCCTTGCCCGTTCCAAGTAGAATGCCCAAATTTGATGCAGGGGAGCTGAGCTTGCGAAGCCTGGCCTGGGACGCCTTTCGCGGCTCCTGGGGCCAGCGCTGCGACAGGGCAAAACTTCACGCCTGGTCGAGAAGATGTGGAGCTAAGGATATGCAGGAGGAAACCTCCTTATCTGAAGCAATGAATCAATAGGTTCAAGATAACGGTAAGATAGAATTAAGAAAATTAACAAAAGTGCATGACAACTAGAGTAGATCAAGATTGCCAGCTTGCTGACTGAAAAGAGAATTAATGATTGTAGTTTGCCTGAAGCGCAAGCTGCTCACAACAGAAAGTTCCATCAAGTGCGGGCATGCATGCTGGTGCCAACGAGATGATTAGCTGCAAGCAATGCTATCTTGAGAGCACTCCCTGCCTGATTGTTCAGAGCATCGGTTGACGTCAGCCAAATGCAGCCTGCATCGCGAGCGGTGTGCTCGGCATGGGGTAGGTGGATGGGATCTCCATTGTGCAACACAGTCTCAGGCAAGATTTCTTCCTCATAGCCGCTGATGGTCACAAAAAGCCATCTGCTATTGTTGCAAGGCTGGACAAGTGATATTGCAATCCCTTGCTGGAGAAGCTCCATTGCACTTTAATGTATGAAGAAGGTCTCAAGAACATGAAATTCGAACAACGTGGGAGGAAGCCTCCTAATGAAAGAAATAGAGACACTAGTATCAACCTCTGTGCTAAATGGAGTTCTGCCATACTTATGCATGGTTTAGCTGAGAGTTGCACCTTCAAATGTGCCGATTTAGGTGTTGAAAAGTGTACAGGGAACCGGCAGGTGCAAGAAGGGGAGGAATCCTCCGGAGGTAGCCTCCACTCAGACTGTGAGTCCTGCCGAAATTGTGGTCCACTGTGCGATCGCTATGTTCATTTCCGCATCCTCTGCAAAGAACTCATCACGCACCTGCCCGACCTCTTGTTGATACTGAGCGTCAAGATGCGGAGGAAGCATACTTGACGTATACCGGATAATGTGCGTCTCACGATAGAAGCTCTCGAGTTCGGTGAGGATCACGCTGTAGTACCACGTTCCTTGGGTGGTGGGAAGCTCGGTGAACCTCATCAGGCTTAAGTATCGTAGGCTGATGCTCCGCAACTTTTGGCGCCGGGACGCCTTGATTTCACGCCATTCATCATATCCGGGCAATGACTGTACTGCCCAAAGTAGTGTCTTCATCCTCTCTGCTTGGAGCACCTCATGTGCATAGTTCATGAACTGAGCGAGGATTTTCACCTTGTGAGTGTTGAAATACTCCGCAACCCTTGTGCTGGTAGTCTCGGAGGAGATGTTCTGGTCTTCTGCAACTACCTGCTGGTGCACGAGAGCAACCAGGAGCGGAGTGAGCGCTTGCACCAAGCTAGTGCTCTCCATTGGAAACACAGGTGTTGATGGCTGATTTCGAGGTGAGAATGGCTACTGCCAACAGAAGTGTGAATCGGTTTCTTATGGCAGGCAGGCAGTGACCATTGCTAACAAGCATGCAAGGGCTCTAGCTGAAGGCTGCACAGCTCAGGAACTAGGAACTGCAGAAGGAAGTGCCTGCCACTGCTTGTGGACTTCGCGACGCCAAGCTCACCTGGGCAATGTGCAGGTAGAGGGTGGGGGAACTCCTCTTATTGCATGCAAAGAGAGACAACTCGTTCAGGCTGTATCAAAGTCTTTGTTGCCTTAAGCAGAGGGCGTACATGCTGTCTACTTTAAAATGAAGTGGAGGAAACCTCCGGAGGAAGCCTCCCACTGCGAAAGTAGACCACAGCAGAACGAATTCGGTACAGGTGAAACTGCTGAAGACGCTTTAGAAGGGCAGAGACTTGCCTGTGTGCCGATCTATGACAGTGCTGATGTGGGACAGGTCAATGGGTCCACGCGTCAGCAGTACTCCATTCTTCGCCCGACGCACTTTGTGTCCACTGTCGATCAAAGACGGCAGGTGGATCCAAATCTCCACTGAGGAGTCCTCCCTGAATCCTGCAGTTTTGGTTGGTGACAAAGACATATGTATGTCACGTCTTTGCATTCTGCGCAGCTGAGAGGAGCGAATCTGGTGCCAGGCCCGCCAGCTCGTCCCGTGGACACCCCACTCAGGTGTTGTTGAGGAGGTCAGGACCTCATGCAGTTGATCGTCTTCCAGTGGGATGTCACGACCATGGCCCTGTAAGGCTCTGATGTAGATTTCCCCGTCTTCCTCTGAGATCATCTGCTCCATGCGGACCTTCTGTGAGGTTTCCAGTACTCGCCGTACTTCATGAACTGTCACTTCAGCCCGCCAGAATTGCCTGGAATTAAGAAGGCTCTTCAGATTGGCATAGCCAGCAGTGTCTAGCGACATGCCATACTTCGCTGGGTCATGTCTGAGAGCTTGTGTGAGGAGCTTGCCTATCATCTCTCGTCTGGTTTCGTGAGCGCCCCGTCCAGAGAGCTGATCAAGATTAACATCCAGATCTGCTAAACTCGGTGATCGCTGAGTTGCTGGCTGCCAGGCGTGCTCTCTTCTGCCTCCCTCTTGATGCTGTGGGACTTCTTGATGAAGTGGGTCCTGTAGATCTGTGCCTGCGGGATCAGCAGCTGGTGACCAGATCCCCCAGGATTCATCACTATCATCTTCGGGCTGGTGCAAGGAGGTCGGCAGAGCGCTTTGGTCAGAGGCCATTGCCTTGTTTCCTCTCCAAGGAGGAGCTGCGGCCTGCCAGGTGGAGTTAACATCATCTTGAAAGGCAGCTGATCCCTTGGCATGTTGGGAGGAGGATCTTGGTGGATTTCTGTATGAACTCGGCTCCTCCGGTCTTTCCCTCGCAATGCGTTGAATTGGGGCAGCTTCCGCAA